AGTTATTAATGTTATAAATGCACTTAAATTAAAAACAATATTACAACATCCTTACTAATATTTGTATTCATAAAAGAATTTTTCATCACATCAATCAGTGAATCATACATTCGATATATTATTTAATAATGAAAAAACAATATTGAAATTTGTTATGCATTTCATTTTTTTTATAAAAAAATTGTTACGAAACTTTCTATTTAAATTATTTAAGTACAAAATATGTATGTAATAAAATAATCGAAATAAATTTTAATCTAACGTATAAAATATGTTGTAAATTATTTAAAAGAAACTAAATTATACATTTGTAAATCATTACAATATAATTACAAATAAATTAATGTTTCGAAACATTTATTTTAAACTAAAAAAAATCCGTTAAGAGTAGTCAACAAACCTGCTATTAAATCTATAAAAAATTTTTTCATTTACATTTTTTTTTATTATTATTATTTTCATCAGATTTTCAAATAATGAAAATAAATAATAAATTAAGAAAAAAAAAATTTTTTTTATCTTACTTCAGAGGCATTTTTGACGTAAGGCATGATAATAATTAAAGGCGAAAGGGATAATAATGCGGAAAATAAAAAATAAAAAAAAATCGCCATTAAAGATTTTAGAAAAGGGCCCCGAAAAAAACAGGATATTTTTCTATGAATATTACTCTAAATAAAATTGAATTTGTTCGATTGATTTTGATTTTAAAAATATATATATACACGTCTTTACATTAAATGTGTAAATATAAAGTTTTAAAATGAAATTTTAAAATAATGATTTCTGTAAAATTCTGTACCTATCAAATCAAATTATTAATATAAAATTAAAATAAAAAAAAACTTTGTACATTAAAGCTAAACTGAACAATTTGTTACATTCCTCTTCGTGTTTTTTTTTTTCTTAATTACAAAACAATATAAAGAAAATTTATTAATTATATTTTTAACTTATAAACCTTTTCAAAAAACAAAACCTTATTAGGTGTATTATACCTAAAACTTAATATAATGTTTATTTTATTGAAATTCAATTTGTTTTACATTAAAAAAAAAAATTTTAAATAATGGCTTATAATTTAAACCGTTTATGTTTTTATAACGTCATCAATTTAAAATAATATTAAAATATAAAATTATACATGTATAAAATATATAAAGCTCTATTGAACTATCAAATTTTATTAAAACAATATATAATAATAATGTTCCAAAAAAAAAAAAGAAGCAAAACATGGCATTAAAAATAATAAATAATATATAAATATATATTATTTGAATATGTCATTAAAAATGCTTTATTATAAACAAAAAAATAATAATTCATACGTAAAATAAGGCAAAATATTATATAATTTTTTTTTAATTTTTAAAATAATAATAAATAATAATAATAATAATGTTTTAAATACTAATTTTAATTGCAGTCTTGGCAAAAATCAATGATCACTTTTTTTTTTTTTTTTAAATTAAAATTAAAAAAAAAAGTCATGATTAATTCTTATATATATATATATATATATATATATATATATATATATATATATATATATATATATATATGACTGTTGCTTTTATTTTATTATATTAATTTTTTTTTTTTTTTAAATTTATTTACATATTTGAAATTTCGATTAAATTTATAAAAAACTTTTACAATAATTTTACCTGTAACAAAATAAAAATAAACAAAAAAAAAAAAAATGTATGATTTATTGTTATAATTATTATTTTTTTAAAATTATGACCGCCATTACAAATTATTAATTTAATAAAATAAATTATTCGAATGTTTAAGTACTTGATAAATATTATTATTATTATTAAAAACTAAATTATATAATATAATGTTACAAAACATAAAAAGTTTTTTTTTCCTTTTATTTGATTATATTGATATTTATATATCACTAAATAATTTCATTTTGATTACTATATATTTATATATATTTAATATTATTAAATAATATTTACACAAATAAGTGCAAAAGGTGCTTTTATTTGACGGGAATAAGCACTGACTAGATATTTTTTATTTGCTTAATTAATTGTCTACAATTTAAATTCCAAAATAAAAAAAAAAAACAATTTAAATTTTAACAGAAAAAAAAATAAAAATAATGAATATTGTTGAATTGGGTAGTTTTTAAGTAAATATATATTTATATGTCCTCGTACAGTAAATTAATCATTTAATCTAATACCTTTTTTTTTTAAATAACAATTCTATTAAAATTAATTAAATCCCTATGTTCACGTGCCCAATGATATTTATTAAATAAAAAATTTTTATTTTTTGTTTTTCCATCAGCCATTTCAGCAAAACGTAAAAAAAAAATCATGGCTGCTATAAATTTAAATGTCGTGATTTTGTGCAATAAAATCTACCGAGACTTTAATCATTTCTTTTTTTCAAATATAAAATTTTTTTTAAATTAATGATCATAAAAAATAATGATAATAAATAAGTAACAATTAAATTGAATTTAGTTTTTCATGAAAGAAAATAAATAACTAAATAAGTACATAATAAAATACTTAATTATAGAATAATACCGATTTACATAAACTTAATTAATGACTACGTAAGATTAAAAAATTTTTATATTTAACACAACAAGCTTTAATATATCATGGAAACATGATCGATTTTTATAATTATTGGCAATAAAATTATTAACTTTCTCAGTAGATTTTATTAAAAACTATGTTTTACGTGATTAGAAAACAAAAAACCATGTCAAACAGATTTTTTTTATATGTTTACTAAAGTGTTAAAATATCATGTTTGTTCCTTTTAAAAATAATTTAAAACCAAATATTTGCTACGACGTAAAATCTTTTTCCAATTCACCGGTGCTGGGTTTTCGAATTCTTCTCAATTGAATTCCTATTAGTGAATTTTCATTCGCTCCAGATTCCCGTATGACCTCTTCCCTTTGATGATTTGATTCGCACAAAAGTGCCGTGATAGGAGAAAAACGCACTCGAGATGTTGTGCCTTCTTTTGCCGAAGTGTAACTAGAATCATCACTGGTTAAAGAATCCGGAGGAGTGGGATTTGTAGGAGTTCCTGCTCCCGAACTACCAGAATTATTTGAATTATTTTTAATATTACTTCCTCGATTGCAACAATACTTTTTCATGCTAGATCTCAATATGGGATTCATGTCTAAAGTAACTGGCCTTTCCGCTTCGGAAGAATTTTGTCGACAAATTGAAAAAGGATCCTGTCGTTTGACCGAGGGTAGAAACTCAGAACCTCTTCCGTAATAATTTGTATTTGGTTGAGTTATTTCTAAATTAGAGTCTTCATTTTCAACTCTATAATTTAAATTCATTGAGCATGTGTTACACGTATTATTAGTTGGATTTCTTCCTTGATCGCAGTTCAAGAGTAATCTGGGAGGAGTCCTCGTTGAAATGCTCGCATTTCCGCTGTTCCCAGTTGGAACGTTTGATCCGGAATCATAATAAGAAGACCCGTCATAAATATATTCTTTTGGAGCACAATAGTTTTGCTGAAGCCTGTATTGCATCTCGTAGAAACTTCTTTGATCGATAATTTCTTTCCTAAATTTTTCACACCTTGGACTTTGTTGGTATCTCACCATCATATCATTGGAACCACTTTCGGATGACATACCGTGATGATAATCAAAATACGAACTTGCTTTTTCATGTGAATTATTCGAAGAATAAATCTAAAAAATTACTTTGAGCATTAAAATGTGGAAGAAAAAAAAACATTTACATATAAAAAAATTTGAATGGACATTTTTGTTTTTAAAAATATAAAAAGTCATACAAAATAATAATTAAAATAATTGGTCAATATTACCTCTGCTTCTGCATTGTTAATGCCTGAGGAATTTTTTCGAGGAGTATTTACAGAAAGAACGACAGCTTGGTTTGGATTGAAATATTGAGGAGGTTCATTCGTAAAATTAGAGTTAAGAGTCGGCCTTAAATGACGAGCAGGTCCGTGATAGGTATTGTGGGCATAACCTTTAATAAAATTAAATATTAAAAAAATAATCGTATCAATTATTAATGATTTCAAAGTATTAGTTTACCACTTGAACTTGAAAATTCATAATCCTGGCCGAAAACAGAACCTCGATTGGAGGCAGAAGTACATGGAGTAGGATCCGGTGAACGAATCCACCATTTTCTTTCCCAATATTCATCTTCAGATCTAAAAAAAAAAGGCGATTCGATATGATTTTCATAAAAAAAAAAAATTTTTTTTAAAATTAAATTACCTCTCCGGTCTCAGTCTAGGATGAACGGGTGAAATATTTGACAATCTCACATCATAACCAGTTGCTACCCCAGCCAAAATGGCAGCCATATTATAAAGTACTAATTCTACAACAGATAACTTTGGTTTAACTCTTGGATCTCCAACATCTAAAAAAAAACAAAAAAATCGTTTTATTTTTCTAAAAGAAATAAATATTTTTTTTTTTTTAGAATTATGTACATACTTGTTCCGTTATACAATGTAGGCATGGGTATACCAGCTTCATTATTAGCAAAAGTTGGCATAGGCATAAGCAATGGAAATTTGGATCCAGAATAATCGAGTGCCCAATCAGAATCACCAGTTGAAGAATAATCTGGAACAAAAGTAAAAAAAAGTTAAAAAAATGAAAAATTATAAATCCTTTTTTATCATTATACAAAAATAAAAAATTAAAATGGTTAAGGTTTTACCATTATAAAAAAAAAAAAAAACAAGAATACTCACCAAATGTAAAATAAATTAAATTAAATTAAAATTAAATTAATAAAAAAAAAATTAATTAATTAACAAAAAATTATTTTTTCACTCTCTTCACTCTTGTCATCTTACCTTATTATCTAAATAAAATTTATTTATGTAAAAAAAATAATTCATATTTATGTAAAAACGGATTGTTTTACATTAAAATTAAATTAATAACATAAAATCTAAAAGGGATACCTACCAAACAGTACAAACATTTTTTTTTTTGTAATACTAAAATTAATATTAAATAAATTAAAATACTGTTAATATTTTATTACCTTATTAAACTTATCATACATAAAAATTAAATAAAAAAAAATCCATGCTAAAAATTAAATTTCACACACACATAGAAAAAAAAAATAAATCAAATGAAAATTAATTAAAAACTAGCAAATATTAAAAAAAATATCATTCAATTAATTATTATTATTATTAGTAATTAAATGATTTTTTACATAAGTTTTTCTTTTCTTTTTTTCTATACCTTATCACAAAATAAAATATTCAAAAAAAAAAAAAAAAAAGTTAATTATTAAAATAATACTAATAATAATTATAGTATAGAGTTTGATCGTTTTAAATATTATTTATTAAAATGAAAGATATTAATAAAAATTATCATGCATTTAATTAATTAAATTTAACTTATGTATTAGAGTTTTTTTTAATAAATTTATCTCGTATTAATTTAAATACTGAAAAATAATAATAATAATAATAATATTTATGATGTTTTATATACTCAAAAGCTTTTTTTAAATTATTTAAATATTATCATTATCAGATAAGTATTTTTTCTGATTTGAAAGTATTAATAAAAAAAAAATGATAACATTTTGTACAATGATAATAATAATACTATAAATTTTTTAAATAAATACTTTCTAAAAAAAAAAATTAATTTAGTTTAATTAATAATAAAACAATACGATTTTTTTTTTTTAAAAATAATTTTGAAGTACAATTTTTAATAAAATTTAAAGTACGTAATTAATTTAATAATAATTAATCTATGTAGAAATTTGTTTATATTCGTTACTTTATGTTATATAAAAAAAATGTGTTAGTTTGTTATTCCAAAATATTATTATTTTCAAATTATGATTTTATAATAATAATAATAATAATAATTTAATGAAATTTTAATTTGTTAAATTCATTTTTTTAATGTTGGAGTAAAATTAAAATAAAAATCCAAAAAAAAAAAAAAAAAATTTTCACGGATAATAAAAAAAAAAAAAGAAAACATAATTTTACATAATTAAAATTTAAAAAAAAAAATTCATTTTACTGTATAATAATAATATATGATGATAATAATGATAAATAAATCATTTCCAATACCCCCCCCCCAAAAAAAAAAAAACAAAATTTTAATCAAAATAATAAATAAATAACAAAATCCAATCCCTTGTTTAATAAAATCAATTAAATTAATGTAAAATTATTAAAATTTAAAATATATAATAAACATTTTATTTAAACAATTATTTTTTTTCTTTTTTTGGTCCCCCGAAAATATAACCGAAATAAATATGTACTGAGTTAAATTTAATAAATTTTAAAAAGGTTCAAAAGTCAAATAATAACCTTAACCCTATAAAATAAAATAACTCATATTGACTACCTACAACTACCTACAGCATGCATTACTCAATATCAACACCAAATCAAAAAGTGTTCAAAAAAAAAAAAAAATCAGTGATAACAGGGTAAATCCTTTTAATATTATTTTTTAAGAGTAAAAAAAAAAAAAAATACAAAAAATTATACAATAGAGAATGTATATATGATGGTTCATTTCAAAAAAAAAAAAAAAATTAAATTAAATTTATTCGATAATAATAATAATAATAAAAAGCAATACTCCGCCAAGAAAAAATTCAAAAAAAAAAAAAATTTGAAAAAGCAAGCTAAACTACTTGATCGACAGGAAAATTCTTTTGATAATTTCACATAATATAAATTTGCATTGCAACTTACAAAACGATCGAAGATTTTCCTCCGAAATTCCTGTTTGCGTATAAAATCAAAAAAAAAGAAAAAACTTATTATTTGAAATTAAAGCAATTATTAATAGAAAATAAAAAAATAAATAAATAATAACCGCCACTGCCTAAACAATTTGTTAAATAAAATTATTCATTTTTACCGATGTTAATAATAATAATAATAATAGATTAATATTTAAAGCTTCCAAAACCTTAATTTCATTACAAAATAATTATTTTAACGATAATAAAAATAAATATATATATTATTGGTTAATATTTTTTAAAATGTAATCAATTAATAAAAGAATTATAATGATAATGATAATTTTTCCCTTAAATAATTATATAAATTTGTTTTATCGCCTAAGCATTAATATTATTATTAAATTATCAAAAATTGAAAAAAAAAAAAAAATATGAAGTCGATTTATTTCTATAGTTTTCTATAATAAAATATAATAGTAAGTATTTAATTGTATCGCGCGTATATGGAATAATAATAATTAAAAATAATATTTCAATTCCTTTGATTAAATTGAATATAATTATTATTATTATTCAGTGGCAATTATCAGTTATTGGTAAAAGGCGTATATTAACACTTTATCCTAAAATATTGTCGTATAATGGGAGTAAAATCTCGTCTCTATTTATTAGTATCAACGTTTTTTTTTCCGTGGGGCAAGTTTTTAACTATGTAAAAATCGTCTTCGTTCCCGTATTTCCACATCGTTCCACGGCTTCGCACGAAACCAGCGCAACCTACATCATCTTCTTGTTCTCCTGATTTTTTTCTCTCGTTTGTCTTCATTAATTTTTCGTCTTCGCATTTGTTAGTCCCCTCCCATAAATTAATGTATTCTTCCCTGCACCGGACATCGTCGAACGATGCTTTTCTGATAGAATAATTCCTACCTATTTCATGAAGGGAATAATTAGCACCCATCCTCGAATTCTTCTCCAGGTTCGGAGCTGATTTACTCCACTGTTTATGGGAATCCGGAGCCACTCGTGCAATTATTTGTCCGCGCTCCCGTTGATGACAAGTTGATGGACCCCAGGTTTTACCTTTCACACCATCACTAGAAACTAAAAGTTTAAAAATTTGATTTGTTTTGAGTAAAAATTGACACATTTACACGTGCAATAATAATAATAATAATAATAATAATAATAAGATTCAAACTTACGTGCAATGGCTCGAAGGCGAGTTATACTAGGAGATCCAGGTGGGGAATTAGGACTCGATGCGTTTCTTTGTTTTAAATCTGATGCTCCCGTATGTTGAACTGTCAATGTATGCCGAAAATCTGCATTTAATAAAAAAAAATGAAATAAATAAATTGCTTTTTAAAAAAAATTCACCTCAATTTCAAATAAAAACTGACTTCTGAGAATAAAAAAAAAAAAAAACATTTTAAAAAAATGCTAATAACAATAAATATCAAACCTTTAGGAAAACTTATATTTGGTTTTTGTGCATCTTTCTTTGTTAATTTTAATCTACTTCTTTTAAAATGTCCTTTTCTTTTTTTAGGTGTGGGAGTTTGTTGGAAAAAAACCATAATTTCCCTTTCAATTAAATCTAATTCCCGTTCGTACAAGTCTCGTTCTCTTTGCTTTAACGTTTCTTGTTGCTTGGTGAGTTCTTCTTCTCTCGATCGCAATTCCTATTCGAAAATTTTATAATTAATTACTTTTAAGGTAAAGTTTAAAAACTCAAGAATATATTTTTTTACCTTTTCTTTCATTCGTAAATCATGTAAAACTTCTTCAATTTCAACTTTCCAATTATCCTGTAAAGTGTGAAATGATTCGTGGGGAGTTTGCGTAAACTCTGACCTTTGTATTCTATCCAAAGATAGCAGAATATCTTCAAATGAAGGACGATCGTGTGGTTCGGATTCCCAACAGGCTAATAAAAAAAAAGGGAATAAAATTTTAAACGACTCGTAAAAGACCAATAAAATATTAAATAATAAATTTAGAAACAAAATTGTAAGGAACTAAAATGAAAATTTTTTTTTTTTTAAAGTAACCTTTCATTAAATCTCTCCAAGGCTCTGGACACGTCGTAGGAATCGGTAGAGTAAGTTTGTTCATGGCCACACCATAAGCTACAGCTAAAATATCAATGCCTTTGTAAGGAGTTTCACCCGTTAAAAGTTCCCAAAGAAGAACTCCATAGCTAAAAAAAAATTTTGTATCAAAATATTAGCAACGAAAAATGAATTTTGAATAAAAGTTTCATTTAAATCGATAAATTATTTAAAACTTTTTAACCTCCAAACATCGCTGGCTTTAGAAAACGTTGATGATTTGATTACTTCTGGAGCCATCCAAGCATAGGTTCCAGCGGCAGACATTCTAGTAGTTCTATATACTTCTCTTGCTAGTCCAAAGTCCGTTATTTTAAGTGTTTTCAATAGAAGATCATCGTTGTTGATAGGTTCAGCCAAAAGAACTGTAACAAAAAAAAAAAAAAATATTAGGTACTGTTGATCAAAAATAAATGCATTAAAATTTTCAAAAATCTATAAAAGTTTAAATTTTAAGTACATGTCACAGTTTTATTAAATCAGATTTAAGTGAAAATAATTTTTAAAAATTCTTTAAAAAAAAGAAGAGTGAGAGAGACATATAATGAAATCTTATGAAATATGAAAAAAACATTTTTAAAATATATAAGAGAACTGCTTTTCTAATTTTATAAAGAATAAAATCTAAAACTTTCAAATATTTAAAAGTATTAAAGTTTAAAATTTTTCAAAATGCATTTTAAAAAAATTTAAAAATAAACAGATTTTTCATTTCAATGTATATTTTTTAAAATTGAAAGAGAATTAGAAAAATTAAATTTAAAAAATTTATGAAGCAAACTTTTCATTTTAAAAATACTATCACTCAATCGATATTTTTATTATAAATACTTTAAATTTATAAATTATAACATTATATACTATGCATTAGATTAAAAAAAAAAAAGAAAGAAAAAAATTAACAATTACCATTTGAACTTTTTAAATCCCTGTGAATCAATGGCACTTTTGCTTGATCATGCAAATAATGCATTCCCCTAGCAATTTGAATTGCCCAAAATACTAACACATCAGGTCTTATTTTTCTTCCACTGAGTACTCTATTTAAACTACCACCTTTAGCATATTCCATTACTAAACACAAATTGGGAATTTCTAAGCAAACTCCCTTTAAAGACACTATATTTTCATGCTTTAACAACCAAAACAACTTAGCTTCTTGTCTAACATTTTCTAAAGTTACATTTATATCTTCATCTGATTCTTGTCTTGCTGCTTTCACTGCAACTTCCTCATTATGCCATATTCCCCTATAAACCTTTCCAAATCCGCCTACACCTATTACTTCAGCTAGTTCTAGCTCTGAAAAACTAATTTCAGTTGGTTGAATGTCATTAATGACAGATGTCAATTCTTCGTTTTCATCAGCTACGAAATTAGCTGGAAAAATTCCAACTTTATCACCTATTTTTCCTGTCCACCATCCCTCATCTCCTGATACTTTAACATCTTTAGTTAATACTTCAACTCTTTCACCTCTTTTCAAACTTAGTTCATCTTCTCCTTGTGCCTTATAATCGAATAATGCAGTTAAAAGGGTTTCACTTTTCTTGGAATGTGATGTGGAATGCTTTCCAAACTGCTTTTGCAGAGAAGAATGTGAGTTACTTTTAATTGAAGTTGAATTATGCCACTGATTAACATTACTTTGTAGATAAGTAGGTTCCGGATTATAATCATTTTGTTTATTAGAAAAAATACTGCTAATTTGATCATGCTTTCTGACTGGGGAATTTTGATTTGAAGTTTGTTGAGCGGTACTAGTCGTATTCGGAGCCGGTGAGGAAGCTCTGGAAGATCCTTCGCAATTCACATTACTTTGAGAAAGGCCATTGGAAAGGCCTAACCCATACATGCAGTTCCCAGAGGATTCCATAGGGTTCAATAAGGGAGGCATTCGTTGTCAAGCAGGAGAATCAATTTTTCCCCCGCATTGGTCATAAAAATTACCGATTCTAATACCCACTTACTGAAAAGTTTTTTTAAACCAGCATTAGTTTTTAAATAATTATGGCACAACAATGTACTGACAGAGTTAGAATATGAAAATTCATTCGCAGGAGAAATCGACACACTTTTCATTTCTTAAAAAGTCTACAAAAAAAACACGATTAAAATACTGACATTCTACTTAAACTGATAAATAAAAACTGATTTAAAAAATTTTTTAAACATGTTGCACTAAGATGACACTTAATACAATTAATATATATATAAATAAATAAATAAAACGTCCTGACGCGAACCCGCACTTCCATCAGTCATCCGCCATATTTTGACCTGCCCTTTGTCAATTATGGCGTTAAAATAAATTTTTAATCTTTTTGAAAAAAATACCATGAAAACTTTCTCTCATCAGTTTATTTTTTAGATTACATAAATAAATAATATTAAAATTAAAAACTGCGACAAAAAAATATTTTTGCCAGGATAACAAAATAATGGAAAATTATTATTTTTTTACATTTTTGTTCAAAAAAAGGCCCTAAAAAAAGGTGATTAGTTTATTTGTAAACATGGCTACGGGATTTACAAGTAAGTAAAAAAAATATTAATTTTAAATTAAATTAAATTTAATTCAATTTAATTTCACAAATTATATTTGTATCACTTCAAATTTTAAAAAAAAAATTTTTTAAATGTGCATGAAATATTTAAATGAATAAACATATCATTAGAAATTAAAATATGAATTTGTTAAGAAATTGTAGTGTCTTCAATTTGGTTTAAACTTTTACTTTACTCTAAAATCATAAACTATACAATTCTAAAATAAAATACATATTTTTTAATTATGTAATTGTACATATCGTTTTATTTTTATTTTTTCCTTACCCTATTACAATTCTGATGACAAATGCTTATAAAAAGTTTTGGTTCTATTGAATAGTATAAATTGTTTAAAACTGTATGTTATTATTTTTTGTTTAAAAAAATTGGAACTTTTTCCTTTGAAAACAACATAAAATTAAACACTTAATGATTTTATGTAGAGTTCTCATTTTTTTAAATTAAATTTATCAAAAGTAATTTTAGGTTGCAGATTAAACTTATGCATTAATATAAATTAATTTTAGGAGAATGGATAAAATTTTTTACTGGATGTGGAATTCCGGAAGATATTGCCAAAATGTATGCATTGATATTTTATGAAAATAGAATACAAAAGAATATGCTTCTGGATTTAAATAAAGAATACCTAAAAGACATGGGTATTACAGTGATGGGAGACATAATAGCAATTCTTAAAAATGCAAAATTAGTTCATAAAAAATTTGTAGAAGAAAAAATTCTATCAGATAGTGTCGATTCTTCTGTAAATAAGGTTGAAGTATTAAATTCTGAGTCAAAAAATACTTGTAAGTAATTGTATAAACATGTATGTATTACATTTAGTTTTAAGTAGTTACAAAACTATGTTATACTGAAAAAGTAATAATTAACTGTTAGCAGCCAAAAGAATATTAAATCGTTATACCAGAAAATATAATTCTTCAGGGATTGAGTCACTGAAACAAGTCAAAGTTGTGGTTCCTAACAATCAAAACAATAAAGTAAAATTATCAAAAGCAAAACCTGAAAATCAAGGTAAGCATAATTTTATACTGCTTTAGTTACATTAACTCATTGATTTCTTTTTTTTTTTATAAATGAATTTAAAAGTCAAAGAGTAATTTGTATTACATTTCATTATGAATTACATTTTGTTAATTTTATTATACCTTTTAATCATTATGAGATAAACCTACATTAAAAATTAATATTTTTTTGTAAATGTAAAATAGGTATTACAGGACCTACTGAGAAACCTGAAGTTTCAGGCGCAAAAATAAAAAAATTAAGTTTGGAAAATGATAATTTTAAAGTTAATTCATCTGAATCAATTGAAAAAACAACACAAACACTAGAACAAGGTATTTGCTTTAAAATAATTAACTATATTTTTTATAAGCTGGTAAATATAATTTAGTTTTTATTTTAGCAAAAAGAAAAGAAGCCAAAACAGTTTTCGATAGACTTGGTGAAAGTTCAGTCAGCAGTACAACATCAGAAGTATCTGGAAATTCAGTTACAAGTTATAGTAGTACAATTCGAGAAAAGGTAAAGTTTTAAAATATATTTATAAGTAAAAAGGATAAATCAATCAAACCTTTTAATTGTTTTTCTTTTTTTTTTTAGAACTTATCAGTTTTTTCAAGATTAGGAGAAAAAACAGCATTTGTTAGCTCTTCATCTGAAGAAATTATTGAAAAAAATGGTGAACAACTGCCTTATGCAGGAATATTAAAAAGTGGAAGTGGAAATAAAAAAAATTTTATTACATGTGAGTTTTTTGTAGTGAATGAATTAAGAATTTTCTTTTATTAAAATTTAATTAACTTTGTTTTTAATTGGGATTAGCAACAATGAGAGCAGATAATGAGCAAAAAATATCTAGTATAAGCAAAACAGAATTGAAAAAAAATATATCTGTAAAGGATCGTTTAGGTTTGGGAGGGCCAGAGAATAAAAGTTCAAAGTCACCATTGTCTACAGGAAAACTGTTTCAAACGAGTAATTATTTTTACATATTGCATGCAATTAAACATTGTGAGAGTAAATTAAATTGAAATTAATTTTTTTTTTTTTTTTTTTAAGAAGAAATCAATTCAAAAAATAGTAATAATAATAAATTACCAGAAACATTAAATGCGACAATATTGGAAAAAAAAAATATAAAGAGGATAAATATTAGTAATAATAATACATCGAGTGGGCAAAATGTGAGCAAAATGACATCTGAAAAAAAAACTCTTGTTACAACTTCTAAGGTAATATACCTGTTCAAATCATTTCATTTGAAATCTTTTATAAGACTCCATTAAAACAATTTTATTTGAATATGTTTCAGTATAAAAATTTACTTACGGGATTTAAATCAAGTAAAACAACATTGGATGTAAAACCTAGCTCAGGTACTCATTGCAAATTCAAAATTTATTATATGTTTTTTTATGTTAATGGTCGATGTATTTACAAAAAAAATTTTTATTGTTTTTGTTTAATAGATGGAAACAATTTAAAAAAAGTTAGGTTTGGATCTGCCACACTAAGATTAATACCATCAAATACTTCACTTGAACCGAAACAAAATAACATTTATCCAAAATTAACAATGATTATAAACAATAAAAAAAAATTAGGTTCAAATATGCCTGTCCTAACAAATTATAAATCAAACGTTTTTGATGACAATAAAATTTCTTCAATGTTTAAAAGTGACAATCAAATACAAAATCGATTGCTGAAGAGGAAAAACAGCGAAACGATTAAATCATCCCCTACAAAAAAATTTTGCAGTGTTCACGACAGATTAGGATAAAATAATTAATTATAATATTTAATGTAAAATAATTTTACTAAAAACTATGATAACTGTATTTTTTAATTAAATAAATGTTAAATAATGATAGAATTATAATAAAATGCACAATCTCATTAACAGATAATTTCTTTTTTTTATTTGTAAAAAAAATTTAAACTAACTCATTTAAAAAAAAAAAAAAAAAAATTAAAATTAATTTTAAAAAATAATATTTATTGTTAATGAATTCCTGTAGCTCAAAAAATTGTAATGCTAACAAAAAAATATAAAAATTTCAATACAATTTATATTTTGTCTACATTTTCTCATAGAATTCTAGATACTTCCATCATATTCCTTATTTTAATTGAAAAAAATATTTAAAAACTATCACATGTTGCAACAAAGGGATCTTAATAGGGATAATTCCAACTGAGTTATTTAAATTTTTTTTTTGTAAAGAAAGAAGTCACATTTAAATGTTTTTATGATTTTTAATGTTAAAATAAATAATTTAAATTTCTTACCTTGTTATTAACGGAGAAAAATTTAAGGTATCATTATTATTATCGATTCGATTCCTGGAATAAAAAAAAAAAATAATTATTAAATCGCATGAAAAAAATTTATTTGGCTTAAATCAATCCATTTTACAGTTTACATCATCTAAATTTTTTCATTTTTTAAAATATAAGATTTAATCAAATTTATTTCTCAAAAAAATTTTTTTGTCAACACACCAAAAAAAAAAATTACTTTTGAATCATTTACACTTGAATTTTAAAAAATAAATAAATAAATAATTGTCATTTTACATTATTTACCGTTAATAATAATAATAAATAAATTAAATGATTTTTTTTATATGTAATTACAATAAAAACACAACACACACAATTTATTTCACACTCTGTACAATTTTTTTTTTTGTTTATAACAATTTTTTTTTGTTATAAAAAAATTTTTTAGTTTTATTTTACTTATGTATATATAATATAATATTTGATTTCATCACAAATGTCTCATTGACAAATTATTAAAAAAAAAAAAATAACAACAAATAAAATAAAATAATTTTTATGTCATAAATAAATTAAATTTAAAATAAAAAAATTTGAAGACAAAATAAAAACTGGTTTCACTATGTCAATTATTATCATTATTATTAATTAATTTTTCATTGATATTAAAAATAATAATAATAATTTTCTATATAAAAAAAAATTAAAATTTACAATAATGTTAAATGAATTTAAATTGTGAAAAATTAATTTTCAAATTTTATTTTGATTATTTCTGTTATGATTATGTTTGATATTGAAGCATGGGAGCTGCTAAATTTGGATGATGACTCGAATTCATTCTGAGAGCAGACAGACTTTTATTGTACCATTCATCCTCCGGATTCATACCTAAAATAAAATTCTCTTTTACTAGAAAGTTCTTTTAATAACATCGAAGATAGGCGTTTTTTTTTAAATAGATGAATAACCTACTCATTCCTTCCTGTCTCATACCCGCCGACATATTGGTTGGCCCGTGAGTCATTGAAAACGGTTGTGCCATACCCGGATAAGAACTACCAGCCATCTTTAAAAAAAAAATGAAAGAAAAAGATTTGAGTTTATTTATTTCACAAGGAGAGTTTAAAAGGTTACAGGAATATTTACCTGTGGATACCGATTAATGGAATTAATTGAATTATGATGATGATAAGGTTGATAACCTCTATTTCCTGTTGGATATATATTTCTCATCATTGTTCCGTTACACGTAGGTAAAACAGGAGTCAAAGCTTTTTGTAATTGTTTTTCTTGTTTTCTGTATTTTGCTCTTCTATTTTGAAACCAAACCTGATTAATTATATTTATATATTATTATTATTATCAAATTTTAAAAAAATGAAAATAATATTGATGATTTATCATGATATTATCGTTGCAAAAAGGAAAAAAAACGAGAAGTAACGGATGCATAAATAATAAAAAAAAGGGCAAGAGTAAACAAAAACGACAAAGAAAATATAAAAATGAGGGCGGGAAAGCAGAAGACCGCCTGCGTGACGTACTCCTCCCACGCCTTTTTTTAATCCCCTCCTGCTACCACTTTTTTTTTTACCTTTCCTGACCGTCTAACTTTATTGACCTTTGTCAAAAACAAGATGGTTGCATTCGTTTATCATTTTTTTTTCCTTTTTTTTTCATCTCTCGATAATACATACATGCACATTCGATATTATTATTATTATTATTTAATGTCTTTATGTCATATTCATATAAAAAATAATAATTATATTTAAAAATATAAAGAAAATTAACCGTCAAAAATTAATCTCCATTATTATTATTAAATATATATAATTTTAAGGCTAATCGCGGTTGATTGTTTATTAAATTAATATTAAAAATTTGTTTTATTTACAGATCTTAAAATTTATTTAATTTTGTTATTAATAATGATCGAAATAAAATAAAAAATTAATTTAATTTTACAAAAAAAAATTTTTTTTTTTTTAGTAACAAATTCAAATGATTTCTAAATTGTACGCCTCATTTTAAATTATTATTTTTAAAAACTTGGTATGAACTTAATAAAAAAAAACTTTTAATGTTTTAAACAAAGAAAAAAAATTCAAAGTAAAGCTCAAAAAAAAAAAAAAAATTTTTTAAAAGAAAATTAATTTTTCCAAGGAATATAAAGGCGTGTGTACAAGATAAAAAGATTCTCAACAAAATATTTTTGAACGATTCAGTAATATCCGATAGAAGGCAAAAAAGAAGAGAAGACAAAATTAGATTTACTAATGAAAGCTCTGAAATAATGGAGAAACTGAAATCTTAGGAAAAAAAAAAAAAAGGAAAGATAGGAGGAAAATGAAAGAGGGATAAAATTTTAGGGTTGTTCAAATAGTTAAGAGAAGAAGAAAACGAAGAAGAAGAAGAAGAAGAAAAATTTCAACTTTTTTTTTTTCAATTCGTTCAGTAAAAAAAAAAAAACATTGAACTAATTTTTACATTTAATGTATGTTCAATAATAATAAATATCTCAAATTTCAAAAAGTAGGTTTTTAAAAAAAACTCGATATTTATTTTCAGGTATTTAGAAAATGATGAAAAATCTTAAATTTCATCTCAAAATTACTAACAATTAATAATAAAAACAGCAAAAATGTATGAGAGTAATTAAAACATAAGAGAGAGAGAGAGAGAGAGAGAGAGAGAATAGAGCAAATTTTTACTTATTTAAAAAAAAAAAAAAATAGTTTCCAAATATTTTCCATGAAAAAAAAAAAGAAAAAAAAAATTTTCCCTTCTATAAAATAATAAAAATGTATTTAAAATTGAATTAGTCCACTCATTAGGAACCCCCGGTTGGAAATCATTGAGAGGGGCTTCGACCCTCTCGGTGGGGCCTCTTTCTACGCGCAACTGTCACTTTTACTTTGATTTTTTTTTTTTTTTTTTTTCACATTTTTAGATTCATTACAATTCTATTTACACATGTAACATTCAAAACAAGAGAGACAATAAATACACGTGTATTATTAAATGACGTACAAAAAATAATGACGTCACTAAATAATTATAGTAGTGATGATGTAAAGGTTGCAAAAGGTATACATACATAAGATATAAAAGGCATTTAAGGTCTTGATCATTAAATGAACTATGTGATTTTTATAAATGTAACAATAAAAGAGTTAAATATACATATTCTTTGAAAAGATAATAATAATAATAATGAAATGTAAACAGGAATAATTATAAACCCTCAAAAGGATAAACGAACAAATTAACTAAATTACTAAAGACTCAAAATTATCAAAAAATAATTTTCAAAGTTTGACAATTCGAAAAGTGACAAAATTGCCAATCAAAATCGGAAACCATGGTCTCATGCTCAATTTCCGGTTGTTTGGCAATACGTGAATATTTAGAAAAGGTACATTAAAATTTGTACATAACTTCGTTGGCATGCCTGTCGTGAGTATGAGCAAAAGGTTTGATTAAAAACAGGTTGGTTCGTGACAGGAAGTTAACAACCAAAATAAAACCGGATATGATCACAAGAAGAAATGATGTGATAGAAGTATCGGTACCGACGGATGAAAATATCACAACGGAAAAGAATTTGAAAAACAGGAATTTTTAAATTGAAATTGCCAGGATGTTGTAGGGAATAAAAAACGGAAATGATTCCAGTCGTACTGGAAGGAGGAAAATGGAAGCCATTATTACAATCAGATTTTTAAAAATTTAAAAGGAAAAATCTTTAAATGAAAAATATGAAATTCGTTCTATTTTCCGGACACATTCTTAATTTTTTTTTTATAATAATATATTTAAACGATAATCATAATAAAAATTTGGAAAAGTTGAAATTTAAAGGTTTTCGAGAAAATTTTTTTTTTTTTTTTCCAGGTCCGAAACATTTATTAATAATAATAAACAACGATATGAATTATAACGAGAAAAATGACAAAAATCGAATGTTTATAAAAAAAAATTAAAATAAAATTTTCTATTTTATTATTATTATTATTAAATCCGCCATGACGTTTTTTTCTTTTTTTTTTTTTTCAATTTTTCATCCCCAAACCGTTTCCTTTTTTCTCTTTTTCCCCTTTCCCTTCCATCCCTTAAACAGTTTCTAAACGAAAGCCACGCCCTTTTCAAATGAAAAAAAAAGTAATAATAATAATAATAATAATAAAACGGAAAAACAAAAATAATAATAATAATAATAATATATTTCTCTTTAGAAAAAAAAAAAAAATTAATAGAAAAAAATATTTTTTTTTTTCAAGTAATTTCAAAAATCGAAATATGAACAAACACACGCACACCAACACCATTTTGTACGCATTTATGCACATGACGCAAACGCACTCGTTTACATATATATTAAATATGCCTTTAAATGAAAAAAAAATAATAATAATAATTTTCATAATGATAATAATGGCCGATAATGATTTTATTCCAACATTTGTTCCTTAGAAATTAAATTAAAATCTAAAATGGTCCAGAGGGAGGATGCTGAGGAATCAAAGATGATGACAATAATAATTATTATAATACGGATCCATATCATAATTAAAAATTTATTAATTAATATTTTAATTTGATTCCTGATTCTTTTTTTTTCTTAAGGAATTGCGTCTTCTGCTCTTATTATCTAACATTTGTCCTATGTTTTGATTTTGAGGTAAATTTGAGGGTGGAAATCAATAATGGTTAAATGATTTTAAAATTATTATTATTATATATGGTATCGATTAAGTTTTGAAATGTCTACCACAATAATAGAGTTAAATAATAATAATAATTTGGTTATTTAATTAAATTTAAACTGTATCTCTTTTAGTTATGGTTCATTTTGTGTTTAAATCATTAGTTTAAAAAAAAAAAAAATGAATAATGAAATGTCAAATAAAACTTACTTGAATTCTTGCTTCGTTCAATTTTGTCGTCCTTGCTAATTCCTCTCTGCAGTATATATCGGGATAATGAGATTTGGCAAATGCAGCCTCCAATTCGGCCAGCTGTTCTTGAGTAAATGTCGTCCTGTGCCTTCTTCTGGCAGGGGTGGGACACGATGCAGTCGTAGGTGTGTGTCCGGCGTGAATTGCTGTCGTAACCGGAGACGATGACACTGTCAACCCTGGTTCCGGTTTTAGTTTTTTAAATGCTCCTTCGTTACCTAAAGGAGGAAAATCAAAACAATACATAAAGAAAATTGTTTTTATTAAAAACTTTATAACGAGGCGATTATTGAGACACTTAATCACGCTTTTTAATGATTCCCGCAAATAAAGAGCCCTTCGAGACACGTCAATTTGTGATAATCCGAAAAGCATACATTTTCATAAGAGACGTCAACAATAAATAGTTAATAATGCGGAATGTTTTGATCAGGGGTTGGTGGCTAAACAAATTGGTAAGGGTTGTAAAAAGATGAACCCCGGACATCTGTCGTTTCAGGTTATTACAACAACAACAACAACAAAAAGAAACAAACAAATTTTATTGCCAAAATTTATTTAAAAAAAAAAAAAAAATTTTTTTCACCCCGTATTATTATTCCATAATCAATAACATATCAATTACTTTATTGATCTTGATAATAATATTTATATTATGATAGTATATTTTTTTTATATTGAGAAACTAAAGAGAGAAATACTCAAAAAAAGGGGCAAAATAAAAAAAAATGTTTTAGGTAACTTTTTTTTTTTTTATAAACAAATTTTTTCCCTGAGAAAAATTAATTATTTTTTGTTTTAAAAATTTAAAAAAAAAAATTATTATTATTATTATTATTATTATTATTATTATTATTATTATTAAAAACCTTTTAAAAAGGGAAAAGGTTTTTAGTTTTTTAATGGTTATAAAATCCAAAATGGAAACATAATTTAAAATTCTTTTTATGTTTTTTTAAGTATTATAAAACTTTTTTTTTTTTTAAGACCAAAGTTTTTTTTTTCTTTTACCCCGGAAAATATATTTTTTTAAAAAGAGTTTTCAAAATATTAATGATAAATACTTGTTCAGCCCCCCCTCCCCCGTAACATCCGAATCGTTTTTTTTTTTTTTTTTTAAAGGGGAAATAATAAAATTAAATATGATTTTGCGCTAAATTGTCGTGTCATTAACCGTATATATTATATGGTTAGCAAAACGTCAGGTTTTTTCGGTTAAGTAAATTATTTTTTTATAAAATATGACTTACTACTGTGATCCCCAAGATTACGACCTATAGAGCCAACATTTGGCGGCGTGTGTGTCGGAGTATGGTGATGCCCTTGATTTTCACCACCGGATGAACCGATGGATCCGGATGTTGGCAAGGCCCCATAAAGTGCTGAAAAATCCTCGCTCGCCGATGAGCCCGTAGAACATTTTCCGCTTCGATGCAACGGTTTTATATCTAATGACAAACTTCTTTCGTGGTGGGACGCATGGTGGTGAGGCACATCGTCAACAAGTCCGGCCACCCCCAATAATCCACCTACTAAATTGGGTCGCAATTCGTCCATAAGTTTTTGCGTGTGGCTAGTGTTGCCGTGAGCCAAAACCGAGGAATTGTGACCCAAGACCCCCGTGTTACCTCCTAATACGCTCGTGGAATTACCGACGCTCAATACGGAAGAACCGTGACTAAGTCCGTTACCCAAAACGCCACTATTGTGCCCCAATATACCAGGAGTGTGACCGAGAACTCCGGAACCGGAGCAATTAGACGCAAAATTTAATTGTCTTGAAAAAATGGCCGGAAATATGTTGAATTGTTGATGATGATGATGGTGATGATGATTCGAAGATATCGGACTTTGAGGATTAGAATTTGACGAAAGGGAATTTGATTCAATTGGCGTAGGAGTAAGTGCCTCACCTTGGGGCCCAGAGCTTGTTTGCGGAGGGTTTGAATTACCCCCGCTTGCTCCAATGCCCCCTAAACAATTTCTTTCTTTGAAATCCACAATCAGGCCGAATATTTTCCTGGGTTTCCGTTAATATTTACACAAAACATTATTTATTTTATATTAAAAAATTTTTTTTAAAAATCAAATTATCTTTTAAGTCATAAAAAAAAAAAAATTTTTTTTTAAGTTATTATTTTTTTAAAAAGAACAAAAATCAATAAATCAATAATTTTTTTATTTTTTTTCACGACATGCCCGACACTTTTTGTTCAACATAAACAAAAAAAAAAGAAATTAATAAATTATAACTTTCTACCGAAATAAAATAAATAATTAACGGATTTTTTATTATAATTAATAATGTTCGAACAAGTTT